TTGCCGTCTCCCGCCGGGCAGCGTCTGCCCCTGGCGCTCTCTGTGCCGCTTGCAGTGCAGGTCAGCCGGAGCAGGGGCTGCCCCTGCGGCCTGGGTGCGGAGCTGCGTGTGTGTTGCCGTTCACCTTCTCATAACCTTTGTTTTTTTCAATTTTGAGTCATCATGCCAACATTGGTATTGCACTGGCACTAAATGGTGGGCAAAATTGTTTTCCTGAGAGCAGCAGAAGAGCGTTTGTTGGTTCCAAAGGTGAACGTTTTTTTCTATATATACATTTATAAAGCTCCTTGTGTAGAGGGTTGGGTGGCACAGTGGGTTTAGTGTAATGGCCAGAGTTCAAATCATACTGCAGGTCACAAATGTGAAAGATGTAGATAGTCCTGACAGACACTTGTGCTACAGAGTGATTAAAACCCTTGGCACAATTGACAGCCATTGCTTGAGAAGTCTGGGATGTAGTTGCAGACAGGAACCGGTGTCGCAGGCCATGTTGAAGGAGCTTTGGCAGATCTGGATGTGCTTCCACAATGCCTGCCTGCCCTGATTCCAGCTCTAGGTTACATTTCCATGAGTAAAAATTAACAATTGAGGACTAATAAACTTGAATTGTGAAGGAGAAGAAACTATTGGAGTAGTTGCACACTTACGCCAAGTTTGAATAAACAAAGTTTTTTTCCACACCCTTCTGATTTTTATTAGGGTTTTTCCCTGTTTATTGTAAGAAATGATTTTCCTATAGCTAAGCAGCAAACAAAAAGAAACTTTGTTTCCCTTTGACCTTATCCACAGAATGGCTCAACAGCAAGCACTGAGATTTCGTGGCCCAGCTCCCCCACCAAATGCAGTCATGAGAGGCCCACCGCCTCTCATGCGACCACCTCCACCTTTTGGTATGATGCGAGGTCCTCCTCCACCACCTCGCCCCCCTTTTGGACGTCCTCCATTTGATCCAAACATGCCTCCGATGCCACCTCCAGGAGGGATTCCTCCACCAATGGGACCTCCACATTTGCAGGTAAAGAACGGGGGATTCTCTTGGTTTGTTGAGTTGGGATGTAGGGATTTTTCTTGTTTGTTTTCACATGTGGAAATAGTAAGAGGAGAGACATTAAAATAGATGAAAAAAAAATAGCAGGGCATGATGAAAACATAAGGGTCCTGCTTGATATTATAAAACTAATGCATACCTGTGGTATATAAATGCAACTTCTATTTAGCTCCTTGAGGTAATTTTAAGTGAATCAATTACGCAGTTAGGACACGCTCACCAACAGTCTTTACTAAAAGGTGACTTCGTGTTGGTGCCCTGTGGCCATGCAGAATGCAGGATTCGGCTGTGCTCAGATTTTTGAATGCCTCAAAGCAGGCATGTGAAGTACTCATCAGCCTTCTAGGGTTATCTTAATTCTGCGTGTATATGTTTGGTGAGGTAATGATAGACATGCACACAGACAGAGAGAGAAGGTGCAGCTGAATTCCATGTGGGTTCCAGCATGAGCCACACCTGCCATCACTGTAGTAGTTTGTTATTATTCATCACCAAGGGATTGCTTAGGTAGTCAGGTAGCAATTCTGAGAAGTAGGTATATAATCAGTAACGAGGTGGGTTTTGTTTTCAGCACTATATTCAGGACGGTGAATTGACAATTTCTGCTTCATTACTAACAGCACCCTGACAAAGAAAAAATTAACATTTGGGAAAAACCTAAGAGTAGGCTTGGTGTTTGAACAACTGCAGGTAGCTCTTCTGCTGACATAAGTTGACTCTTGGCAGAGAGAGAATGCTCTTTACCTTATGTATATTGTTGTGTTTTGGGTTTTTTTAAAACTTAAAGCATTCCTAGGACCTGTGGGGCATAGTGTGAGAAAACAGTGCATGTTTTGTGTAGCAGTTTTCTCTGCCTTCTCAAACATAAAGTGTGTAGCTAGAACTTGGACTGCTCAGGGAGGTGTGAAGTAGCTATTCATTTCATTGAAATGTTCTCAGCTGAACAAAAGTCCTGTGGAACTGAAGACTGAAACAGTATGTTCGAGGGATGTAGACAGTCCCACTCACCTTGTTGAAAGTCATCTTTTCCTTTCATTCAGTACTAGGGACTTTGTTCTGTGGTATGTTTTGACGCTCAGCTTAAGTTTAAGACTGTTTCCACCTACTGCGCCTTTCTTCTGGTGCTTTATGATCCCATTTTCCCTCTTGGTTTCAATGTTCCTGTGCCCATGCGCTACCTTGAAAGCTATGAATGAATGAGGAGTGTTGGAGTGCCCAGTGGAACCTTTATGATCCCATTTTCCCTCTTGGTTTCAATGTTCCTGTGCCCATGCGCTACCTTGAAAGCTATGAGGAGTGTTGGAGTGCGCAGTGGAACTCGGACTGCGAGGGGAGAAGAGGACCTTGCTTCCTTCTTGCAGTTTCAAGAATCAGCCAGACTTAATTTGAAGCCCCAAGCCTAGCTGCTGATGTCTCCTTGATTTATGTGTTTGATTTGTATTCTGAATGTGCTTCAACTCTCAGCTGTTTTATCATGCCATTCAGTGAGCGTGTCTTCTACAACTTAATACCATACATGGAATACATGCATCAAACATGTCTAAATTTTTCGTGCCATGTCAACACTGTGCTTTACTTGCACTGAATGTTTGGGTTTTAGCTTCTTGCCCCACTTCTGGTGTGCAGGGAGGCACAACATTGAAGGGTCCTGTGGTAGAAATGGAGGAGAGGGTGTGCTTAGAGTGGAGCTGCAGGGTGTTCTGGATGCCTGGCTGTACACCTGGCATCCCCTCCTCGCGCTCAGGACTGCCCTGGAATGGTCTAGCCCCGTTTTTTGGGGGTAAGCAGCAACAGCAGGCAAAAAAGTGAACTCTACTGGATTCTTTTTACAGATTGTAGAGCAGTAAAGAGGAAGATCATCTTGTGGCCAGATGGAGGAGCTGTGGAGGAGAAATAAGGAAGGAAAGAAAGGCTATAGTTACCTTAATGGCTTTTTTGTTTGTTTTGAATTTTGTCCATGTACTCTTGACTGCTGTTATAATATTATTTAACAGAAATCAGAGTTGGCGCATGAATTTAAAAAGCAGTTTGAAATATCACAGCAGAAATTTTGATCTCAGGGAAACTTCTAAAGGAAGCCAAATGCAGACAGAAACCAAGGACATGGCACGCACTGAAAACTGCCAAGGGTCGCACTCCAATTCCCAGTGCACGGGTGCAGGTCAGGGTCCATGTTTGCGGCATGTCACACCAAGCCACCCAGTTCCTGTGACACTGGGTTTCCGGCACACATCCTAGCTTCAGCAGAGCCCTAGTCTTGCTGCATGTGTGCGTTTCACTCTCGGGCCTGGCAGTGATGAGTGAAGAGCTCAAAGGTTTTTACCAGTAAGCTGTCCTGGTATTGCCTTTGTGAAGAGAAAATCTTTTGAATCACAAGTTCAATTATAACTGGAGTGGTGGAAATAATTTGGTCAGTTGTAGTTGTATGCAGAATAACTTGAAGAACTTGGTGGATTTTGTTGACTGTCTTTTTTATAGGGAAGTATTCACTATACTTGTTATGCACAGGAAATTTCAGAACAGTCCAAATAAACAAGTGGAATAAAAGAACTTAATGTACTTTGAATTAGAAAGCAGGCATTCAAGCTTTCAGGTTATAGCAGTGTGCAGGGCAATTCTGGATTTCTTATGATGATGCAGTAATGAAAATGTAATTTGATATTTTTCTTTTTTTTTAAGTTGGCACTAGTTAGAATTTTAGTGAATGGGAAATCGAGAAGTATAATGGACTGTAATGAAATCCACTGCTCTGCTTATAAATTGGACGCTTACTTGTAATTTGATTTTTTTTTTAAAGTTTTTTTTAATATTTCTTCAGTGGGACTTACACAGTTCATTGTGTAGCAGTTTAGTGGTATATTTGTTTCACAGCTGGGGATGTCCGAGTGGCATTTATTCAGGAATGGTTCTTCCATTCTTTCTTTTTCTTGCTTTGGTGTATTTTCTCCTTTTCAGGAGAGGAGTTTTCTTTCACTCCACTTCTTTTCATGATGCGGTTTTTTTTTTTCTGATGCTTTACATTTATGTTAGCATCTCAGAAATGAAATGCTTACTGCAGCTGTTCTGCCATAGGTGGTGGCTTGTCAGGAAGTGCATTCTCTGAGCTGGTAGCATTAGATTGTTAAAGAAGCTCTCAGGACTGGTAGAGTTAACCTTACCGTAGTTATACTGTCTGGTGCTCTAATAAAGGAAAAGCCGCCTTGAAATTTGTATTATTATTGTTATTATCATAATCATTGTTGTTGTTATATGTCTTTAGAGACCCCCATTTATGCCTCCTCCCATGGGTAGCATGCCACCACCTCCTGGTATGATGTTCTTTTTTCGCCTGTCACTGCCCCTGGAACACCAGCAATGCCCCCAGCCGAAGAGATATGGGTAGAAAACAAAACTCCAGATGGCAAGGTAAGATGGGTACCAGAAACAACAAAGTAATAGGTGTTTACTGCTGTTGTGAGCATGTTGTCATACGCAGTCTGGCACTTTGGCCAATCCTACGCTCTTGTCTATGCTTTTATTAATTATTTTTGAAACAGGAGGAACTGGACCGTTTATAAGTACTCCTTCTCCAGATAAGCAGTTGTTTGATGGTGACATTCTTAAATTGTAGGTCTATTTCTATAATGCACGTACACGTGAGTCAGCCTGGACTAAGCCAGATGGGGTCAAAGTTATTCAGCAGTCGGAGTTGACACCAATGCTGGCTGCACAAGCCCAGGCCCAGGCGCAAGCTCAGGCCCAGGCACAAGCAGTAGGTGCCTCCACGCCGACCACCAGTAGTCC